TCAAGTCTTGCCATGTTTATTTCATAATATGTAAATTATTGATTTTGTAATAAAGTTTTTTTTCCCCCATGCATCACACCACTCAAATTCACAAATTCAAGAGGCTGGTAGTGACCTATAAAGTCCTTCATTAAAGCCCATCTGGCAGGCCCAGGAAGAGACCCTTTTCTGTCATGCTGCCTGCCCTTTGGAACATGATATCCTGAGATTAGATTGGCCCTGGCCTTGCTGGCCTTGGGTTGTATCACCAAGCTTGGGGATCCAGATGTGTGGCGGAGCCCATGTAAGGCTTGTGTTGATGGTAGTCATTCTCTTTTTTACCTTGGCTGCTGATTATGTGTATGCTTTTATTACTGGTATATGTTTTATGGTGTTTTTAACTGTTGTTAGCTGCCCAGAGTAATGAATTTGAGATAGATGGCCATATAAATTGAAACAGTAAATAAAATAAATAAATAAACCCAGCATACTTTTAGGAAACTTCACCTTCAAATGCCTTAGTAGTTGGTTTTTCCAGTTAACCATCTACAGTATACCTTTTTTTCTTGTTTAATGTATAACAATGACATTTTGTTTTTATCTTGATACCAGACAAACATAACAAGGTTCTGAACCTCAGAAAACATTTTTCTTTACCTGTTTGTGAGAAATCTGAAGGATGTGTACTTGCTGCTTCCATGAAATCGGTGAACCCAGGTGACAAATCTCTTTGTCTGGTCTGAACTGGAGTTAATACATAAGAAGAATCAGCAAGACCTGAACTGCTGGGCATTTCACTGTGAGAAGCTGTGGATATTGACTGTGGAGGGTGGGAACTACTGGTGTGCTGTAGAGCTTGTAATATCCTCTCCCCACTTCTGTCAGGTCTGCTTTGTAAGTTAGAAGCAGTGCTCTCTGTATCTGACCTGCTGTGTCGCTGACCATTCTGTTCTGAAATGCAACAGTAGAAAATTAATCCATACGGATCCAAAACATCCAATCAAGTTTTTATTCACTTTTTTTGAAAGCTGGCAAAAATATTGCTCATTAAAATCCATGTAAAGAAACAGTTTGTCAGGTCTTAAAGGCAGTTATCTGGTATGTGAGAAAGGCAGAAAGGGATGAAATAATTGCTTGTACAAATATTACCTGTTCGGTATCTTACTGCCTACCTCCTGTAAGTGCTCTGGCACATTCTGTTTCTGATGCACTGAGCTTGGTAAATACATCTAGATGGTGTGTTTTCATGGAAATGCAACATGCCATTTTATGTTTGGTGGAATTAGATTTCCAGCATGGCCAATGAAAGAATGGTTCTCAGAGTTATCACATTCTGTCTTTTTCAAATGTATTATAAGATTGCATGGATGCTGATTTGGAGAAAAACAGAATTGCTTAGGAAATCTGCCAATATTTTAAAAGATATGTGTAAAAAAAAAAAATAGAACAAGGTTCTAATCTGAAAATAGTTACTGTCAGCCATGGTGCCAATTATTGTAATCTTAATTTCACTATACCAACAGTACTAGCAACAATTAAATTCACAGTATATAGTCTCTTTTTTCAGAATATTAGTGTATTTTTAGTAAATGCTATTATTTTTATAATCAATGTTACAGGAGAATTTGGCAAGGTAAAAACGTGTATCTTTTAAGCCAATTTAAGATTAAAATCTGTTAACTTTTTAAGTTATTTCATCTTTTATGAATTACCTATAATCATATTTATTGAGAAGCACAAATGAATGGATAATTTTATTTCAAACAACTATCAATATTATTAGTACTCTGATCTATTATTACAGGTGAATTTTTTTTCTTTAATATTATGAATAGGACCAAGTTTTCTCACTGTCAATTATTACAGTTTTTATCCTTGGTTTTTCAGACATTTTCACAATAATCAGTGCCATCTCTTTCTAATTAAAAGAAGTTGTAATAGGAAATCTAATATAGATATTAGTACTGTCTTTAAGGCTTTCCACAGTAATAACTCTGTTAGCCTGTACCTGTGCTTTAAACATCATCATATGTATTATGCCATGGGGTTTCTGGACTACAGCCAACTTCACAACTAGGTTTCATTGTCCCTGGTGTTTCACTAATGAAGATGCTTCTCTAAAGATGAATTTATAAATGCTGTTATATAAATCCTGCATGATTTCATTCACCTTCATCTCTTAGTGACTTCAGTTTATCTTTCTAAATAAATTGCTTTTTCTTTTATCTTGTTTTCTTGTTTAATATCCATCCCAAATATTTTCATTTTATCTTTATTCCAGATAGTCTTAACAATGCTTGAAATCCAGAAGAAACAAGGTGATCTTCCTTATTTACCTGTAGGAACCTGAGAAAGTGTAAATGTCTCTTCAGTGAAAATAAAGTCTCTGTGTGACAAATGCATTTGTCCAGTCTGTTCTGGTCTCCTTGAAAGCTTTGAAGAGCTGGAAGTATTAGTGATGGTGAACGTTTGTGTTACATTCTTGGACTTCTCTTCATCTCTGACTGATACTCTTGAGACAAACATACTGTCCAAGTGAGGACTGGATGTTTTCCTCTCTCTGTTTGATCTGCTGTCCAACTGATCACTGCCTTCTACAGCTGAAATATACCAATAAACAAATGTGATGAATTTCCTCCATGCTGAATGAACATAATGTTTTCTCTCTAATGGATATTCATATATATATCCAATGGAAAACATTAGTACTGTTGGGAATAGGTGTTTTATTGTTATAAAAAAAATGAGAACTTAAATGTAAAACTTATGATGACATTTAAGTTTTCCTATACATAAACCTCTCAGAATCAGTTAATTATTGGAGCAGCATATCAACCTGTGAAAAATATACAAACAAATAGATGAGACATATACATAAATAAACCAATCCAATTTTACTTCTAGCTATTGCCACAACTTACCAAAACATTTATTTGTATTTAAATTCTCTTGTTTTTTCTTTCACTTCTATGGAACATGTTTATCTTGTCATATAAAGTTATTTCAGATTTCAGTAAGTCATTCAGTGTTTGGAGTACTTGTATTTATTACCTGACATTGCCAATTTTTATCATATATAAGACCAATTCAATTTATCTCTGATGAGTACTAACTCATGATATCTGATCTTTCCCTCAATTCCTTAAACTAAAGTGGGTGGAGAGCATTTCTTCTATTTCTGATAATATTAGAATTAGCTAATGTAGATGAATAGTGGGATTCAGATAAATTAAATGAATAGCACACAGGCCCAGTTTACTTATCGTGCTAACTCAGGATTTGCTTAACCATTTGTTGAATAACCCAGGACTGGTTGGATTTAACAACACGCTAAGCCATAAAGCATAATTTAGTAAATCACACCAGCTGAGTTTACACAAATCACTAAGATGAAGCTAAAATTAAAATCTAGCACACCACTTTATGGCCATAATTAAATGATGGAACATGGAATTCAGTATCATGATGTAGTGTTGGCCATTAACTTGGATACCTTTAAAAGAGTAGTGAAATTCAGGGGCAGTAAATCTATTGATGGCTCCTCATCATGAGTGCTATATATTACCTCCAGTATAAAACTCAGGATTCCTCTCTATATCAGTTGCTTGGGAACATGAGCAGAAAGGTGCTTTGCACTTCACTCTAGTCTGTGGGCTTTCCATGGACATCTGATTGGTTACTGAGAAGGGATGAGAATGCAGAATGCATGATACTTCTTGTACTTTTGACTGTACCATGACATTTCCCACAGTCTGGACTCTGAAACTTACTTATTTTATTCAACGTAGTATAATATAGACCTACCATATCTGGACTGCAAACATCCAGAAGCCACTAGATAATGGTAAAGAGGTCTAGAAAATTCTCTTTGCTGCCTACTAGTGGCTGTCTGTACTTTAACATACAGTTAAAAATCTGAAAGCATCTGAAATCAGTTTTAGTATCCATTTTAATGAGAAAGATGTCTCATTTTCTACAAAAGTATTCATATCCATATTTTCTCCAATATTTTATGTTAATTTAGTTCTAAAGTTTGAAACTTGCATATTTCAACAAATTGTTTCTCAATAGATTACTATTATGAACAATGAACTGTTATTGATATTCTAAAGGATATATTCAACTCTACCAAAAAGTACAAATATATTCCAAAAATTAGAAAAGTAAATACTGTGTATCTTTAAGATTGAAAATAAAATACACAATCCATGGAGGATTGTTAGTAACTATTTGTTTTAGTCTTAACTGCATGAGAAATATAAACTATAGGCATAATTAAATTAAAGAAAGTTGTCTTTAAGTTGTTTTGGACATCTGTTATATATTGTGTATAATAATGTTGATAAGGAAGCATCAACAACTGCTTGCACAGAGTCAGTTGTAGCAGGTCTTTGCAGAGATTTCTTAAGCTTTTAAAAGTGTTGTTTTACAATGATGCTCTAGATTTATTCATTATTTAGACTCTGGGCTCCATCAGGAGAAAGGGTCCATACAAATGAAACAGATAATCAAGATTATGAACATGATCATAATTTCAGTTCTATTTTGGAATGCAGTTCTTATAATTTCTCAGTATTACCTTCCCTGGGGTGTATGGGGTGTCCAGGGAGTGGTAGCATCTCTGGTGGAGGGGCCTGCCATGCCCTTTCTAGGACTGCTTGTTCACCTTTGGTCCCCACCTGGTGCTCAGCTCTCACCTGTGGCTCCAAGTAGCTGTAACAGTGAGTACCCCGGTAAACCATCTTGGCAGACAGGCCAAACCAGATGAGGATAGCCAACAGGTCTTTGGCTCTCAGTGAGATAGGGGATTTATCTATCCCAGCATGTAAAGTCTGTGGCCCTGGCAGATTGATTGGAGGGACTGATCAATGGTCCAATGATCAAGAAGGCAAGCCTGCCAGGTGTTGTGGAGTGCTAAGAGCACGACAAGACACTTAGATGGCCTGGTTATCCACCACAGCAGGGTAAGATGTCTCCATGCCATAAAGGTTCTCCGTGCCACTGGATTAAGGTCTCTTATGCTGAGAGAGTGGGACTGCCCCTGTGCAACACCTGTTCCACTTAAAACTCCATCACACACAGGTTTCAGTTCTGCAATTCATCTTCATCTTCATCTACAACTCATGTACAAATCATCTCAGTCCTAACCTAATTCGTTGAGCCTTGCAGCGAGATGACCACTGGCAATTGTAGTCACCAGTGATCGTTCACCTCAGTACCCAGGGCAGCACAGATGTCTGGCAGCATCCAGGGTGACTGGACAGCTCTTCTAGGATAGCACCGCCCACCCTCGCATGAGGGAGGGGGTTAGAAAAGGTACCCTAAACATTGCCTGCCCCACAATGTCTGGTTAGCTAACTCCGGCTGGCAGATCATCTGCTTAACAGTCGAGCATCAAGAAAAAGAATCAAAGAAAACTCATTTTCGGAGCCCGGAATGTCTGCACCTTGCTGGATAAAGACATGTGTCAAGGCCCGAAAGACAAACAGCATTCATAGCAACCAAACCTCACTGTTATAGCATTGACATTGCTACACTCAGTGAGATCAGGCTGGCAGACAGATGTGCATTACAGGAAGCAGCGAGTGGATATATGTTCCTTTGGAAAGGAAAACCACAGACTGACAACAGGACTCACGGAGTAGGTTTTCCAGTCAAAACTGCTCTGCTGAAGAACATCTCTGCTCTACCCACTAGAATGAACGCATTATGAAGTTCCGCTTTCCTCTCAGCAAGGCCCAGTATATCACCATTGTCAGCACCTGCGCACCAACTCTCATGAATCCAGACAAAGACAAGGAAGGTTTCTACAAGATTATTTGAACAACCTCTGCCAGTGACAAACTCGTCATTCTGGGCGGCTTCAATGCTAGGTGGGGACAGATAGCGATAACTGGGATGGAGTCTTCAGGAGATATGGGATGGGAAAACTAAATAGCAATGGCCTGCTGCTTCTGAGCAAATGTGCTGAGCACAACCTATGCATCACTAACACAATGTTCAGACTTGCAAACAAGTACAAAACTACTTGGATGCATCCCAGGTCCAAACACTGGCATCTACTTGACTATGTCAAAGTACAACAGTGCGACCTTAAAGAGGTCACCATCACCCAAGCCATGCAAGGTGTTGAGTGCTGGACAGATCACAGGCCGGTCCAGCTGGTCCTCCACCTGCACATAGCCCCTTAACATCATAAGCAACCAAGGACTTTCAGAAAGTCATTCAACATCGGCAGACTGCAAGATCCAGGCCAAGTCCAATGTTTCCAAGATGTACTTAATAAAAAA